TCGAAAATAGATACTAAAGGCTTATGATCTGTAATCAGTACAAACCTACGATCATAACAGTAAGAGAACCTTCTCAACCCCCAGTATATTGCAGTTGCTTCCTTATCCATTTGGCTTATTTTTTTCACTCCTTGTCAATGTTTGGGAGGCAAAAGTTATTAGTGCCATCTTTCATTCGATGTGATAGGACAGTCCCAAGTCCTACTGGAGAAGCATGTGTAGCAAGAACCAAGGGTAGCGACTAGCGAGAGATCAAAATGAGCTAAGGTCCATTCATTTGCAATTTCTTCATTCAATTTCTTGAAGCTTTGTTCACAAGCTGATGTCCACTTAATGGTTTGTTTTTCTTTAGCAAATTGTTCAAAGGAATCAGAGAAGCATGAAATTAAAATAATAGTAGCATACTTATGGCATAACAACAGTCGTAAACTACACAGATAAAGATAACAATGACAAAAAAACCATTGCTTATTTTTTCTCTTTGTTTTTCTATTAGAGGTGTGTGGATATCCGAAAAATCGGGTCGGATTCGGTTCGGTTCGGATATCCGTAACCAAACCGAGCCCAAATTCGATATCCGACACTATCAGTTATATATCCGACTTTTTCGGATAGACAATATATTTTGACGTTTTGGACAGAAAACTAAATCTCCAAAACCACCATTAGTTTCCCAGGACAAAATTACAGCAATACGTTTCCAACGACCTAACAGCAAACGGCAAAGAAGCCGTATGATGCAATACCGATAACTAGTTTAGTCGTTATCGGCTGTTTTGCTTTACGATTAGATTCGTCTGGAACGAACAGACATAAAGCAGAAAAGAACTACCATGGTCAAATGAAAGTCAACTCGTGCTTGTCTCGCTCCTGATACTAGGGGCGCTGCGTAATAGTTATTTTTACAGTACTGTTTCAAAGTAGAAAAATCTAGCCTACTACTGTGATGTTACGTAAACAATAGATTTAATGTTTCCCGAAAAAAAATCAGAATAGAAAGAATAGAAAGGCAACACAATAGAAGGGTGGGAGGGGTTGGGCAATGACCTCGAAAGGAGCGCGGGTAGTGAGTCAAGTAGGACCGAAGGGGGAAGGGGTGGGTAAGACCTTGAAGCTATATATAGACTTGCACTACTTCCCTAAACCTAAAGGACTGGCCAGCGAGTGGTATTCCAATCACAGGACAAGATACGTTGTTTTTTGGGTATTCATTGGGTATTCATCGTTTGACTTTGGATTGTCTTACTGTGTAGAAACTTTGAATAATAAAAAATAAAGTTAGAACTAACCACGATTATTTAGCATTGATTGTGTACATATTAAATGATTAAACGATAGGGACCATGGATATATACAAACTTTTGTCGTGATTTTAATTTCAACATCAAAATACAATATTGCACAATGGTGATATTTTAGATTATTGACCTTTATTATGCATCCGGTATTGCTGTTTCAGAAGAGAAGCACGTTGATAAATTATAAATTGATATTCCCGTAGTTAAAAAGAATTATTTTATAAACCTTTAAAACAAAATCATAAAATCTTACATAAAGATAACAATAACAGAAATTGTAAAAAGGGTATAAAGATAACAACGTCGTTATTCTTTCTCTTTGTTCTTCTATTTCTTGGGTTTCCCTTCATCACGCATTCAACAAGTTGCCATGGTTACTAATAACCCATGTCGTTATCAGCTTTTGTGACATATGGCGCACAGCAGGGGGTAAAACTTGACGAAAATTGGTTAATTTTTACCTATTATTTAATTACCTATAAATGTACTACTTTATTGGTATTTGGTACTGTATTAATAATCGGTCAAAATGGCCGATTTTTGTCAAATTTGACACCAAATTTATTGAAATTTCAAGGTGAATATTAATAAAACAATTATTACCAAATATTTTTATTCATTTAAAAGATTGATTTGTGGTATTGGGTTCCCCACTGAGTGCAGCCGAGCGGCACTAATGAGGGTCCGACCTTCTTGGGGGTGAACAATAGACGGCTTATCAGACCCTCCCCTCCCCAGTGGTCTGGAGAAAGCTTGTAAACAAACTATTGCACAAGCGTGACTTGACATTGGGCTGCTTCAACTATAATTTTGTCAAATGAACTGTGATGTTTCAAAATCAAAAACAATAATTTGGGACAATACTGCTTAACAATAATGGACTGCAATTATTGTTGAACATACAATCCATTTTTAACAAACTAAGATTATACGATTCAAATACAATTATAAAAATTATCTTGGTGTTTTACTTGGGGTAATGAAGTTATGTAGGCTAATTCTCGGTTCATCAAGGTTCTACTGAATTATGTTTGGCAGTGAATAAGTGTAGAATGCAATTTATAAATTCAGAGATACACACCTTTTACAGAGTTATAAAGCCTAATTGCCCAACATCAAATCGTGAGCTAGAGCCCATCTTAGTGCATTAGTGATGTTTTCTAAACTTGGCAAACCCGCAAAATGCCACTTAAGGCCAATAATCTGTTCCAAAAACGTAAGAAAATACAATGTGAAAATAAACTTGAGATAGAACTCCTTGTCTTGTGAGAACCAGGAAACAACATAAAACATAACCTCAAGTAAACAAGCCCAAACGTTTGACATCAGTCCTGCTGAGCTAAGGTGTTGTGTGAAGATTTCGGCTGCTAGTGTACTTAATTCAAGCAACCAACTTTTGAAAATAAATGTTGTGAATTGTGATTTTCAAGAGAGAGAAAACTGTGGACTTGGCTAATTTGAAATTCTATGATTCAAAATCGTCATTTAAGTTTATTTACACAGCTTTACATTGTTTATAGGTTAAAAATACATATGCAGCTTATTATTAACCGTGCCAAACTATCCGAATCCGAAAATATCCGAATCCGAACCTTCCAATATCCGATCCAATCCGAGCCTCAACTATCCAATCCGAAATGAAACTTCACTATCCGCACACCTCTATTTTCTATTCTTTCTTGAGTTTCTCTTCATCAACCCATTCAACAAAAGTTGCCATGGTTACTTATCACCCAATCACAGGCTACTAAAGTTGTCATGATTGCCAAATACCTAAAAACTTATATATTTATACACCTAATGAAAAAAACAAAAAATATTGTTTATCCACTGGCAATTAAGTAAAATAAATATTCAATTTTAGTTTTTTGTAAACATTTTTATTATTTATCGTAAAGAACAAATTACCATTTAAAATAATAGTTGTTAGCGCAGCAACGCACGCCGGGTGACTGCTAGTCATGTACTAAAATATTTTACCATCATTTCTGGACACCCTGTATAATATGTATGAATTTGAGCGAATAGTGTTTTTGGCGTTTAAGGATCTCGAAAAAAAAAATAAATCGGTCCCGGGGCTAAGTTTTACCATAAAACCTACGCTAATAGCCTATTGTCTAAAGGGGTGGGTGAGTTCTCGAATTTCGAGTAATTACTCGACTTTTTCCCAATATTTGAGTCAAGTGGTTATAAAAAGTGCCCTGATAATACAGGGTGATAACAAATGAAATAGACAAACTGTATATTAAATTAAATACCAACTGGCTATTTCATTTGTAATTATCCTGTACATGATATTTGTTTTTGTGTTGATGTCTTATTTAATCCACATTCCTCCAAAAAAATTAACTTAATATATACGCTAGTCTAGCGTTAACTAAATGTTCATCAAACAACCATCCATATCGTCGTTCGGCAGAGCTAGCAAGAAGACTACTATTACTTTTCCTCAATCACAGTGAACAATACGTCTCAATAACGATACGGTTAGTTAAACAAAATAAAGCATTGAATGAATCTATCGAGTTACAGTATTCGATAGTCACAACAATGGAGTCTTGTGATTAGTAATCAAGAGCAGATGATTCTTGAAGATTTAGGGATGGTCAAGTCTCGAAATTTCGGGAAATTTTCAGGAAATTTTAAATCTCGTTACACGAGACAAGATTTCTTTTTGGCCGAGATTTTTATCGAGACGAGAATAAAAAAAAAAAATTAAAAACGCCTGCAGAAAGTCAATGCAATACCCGCAATACAGGAGCGTGTTGTAGTTGCGTTTCCATTGCGAAGGCGTTCTTATTTAATTAATTCTTTAAATGTAAATATTATATTTAATATTTAATAACATTTGAGAAGTTATGTTAAGTGTAAGCAGTGTGAGGAATGTTTTATCACTATAAAAAGTCAAAACAAGTAACTATTTTATAAAAATTAATATTGCTTTTATTTTATGATTTATTTTATTTTAGGATAAGTTGAACTCTATCCTAACTGATATCACTATGTTTCCTAATCGTAGGCATTTTTAATAAGTTAGGCGTGATTAATAAAAAAATGTTATACTGATGTTTTTTAATAAAAGATTGTAAATATTCTTGCCTATTATCATTATTTTTGTATTTAAACAGTCATCTAACAATGTTACAAAATCAGGTAAAAATTTTGAACGTGCATTTCCCGTTGTGTATGAGAAGGGAAATCCCGTCTCGATCTCGTCTCAAAATTTTATGAGAAATAAAAAATCTCGTCTCGTCTCGTCTTGAACTAAAAATCCAATCTCGTCCATCCCTAGAAGATATAATAAAGTACATTATTAGATTTAGTTTGAATTGCCATAAAATATTTTATACAAAAATATATTAATACAAGATATAAAAATAAACTATTATTGCGTGGTGTTTGTTCACTTTAATCGGTATTGGTGTTTAGTTTTAGAAGCCGATAAATTACTGCAAGGAACATCGATGCATAAGAATGACACAATCTCATTGTGTCTTGGCAGAAAGATCAGTTCAACTTTAGTGCAGTGTTGCCAGATGGACGATAATTTTTGTACTTTTACAAAACTGTGGTAGTGGCGTAAACAAAGTATAAGTATATAAGTTTTTACTCAAATGCTCGACTTGACTGGACTCAAATTGAAAAATCCCTACATGCCCACCCCTAATTGTCTAAATGAGAAATTCGCTAAAACCCTCTCACCATTATCTTAGCAGTCTGCAGATATCTATCAAACTCTTGCAGCAGGTGTCTTGCCAAGTGAGTGCCACCAAGAGAGGACACAAGCCGACGCAAAAGGGGCCTACACTTGCGGCGCAGGGCCACACTAGACACAGCAGAGCAGAGGATGATGGCACGATGTAGAGGTGCTGCGGGGCCACTCAGCTTGTCAAAGTGTTCTACCAGTAGCCTCTCACACAACTGCATCACGTGCCACAGGGCTACAACACAACAGAGGTAAAGTAATCAACTGATCTGTATGTGCAATGGTATCGCCTTCAACCTCTCTGTAATCTGTTGTACAGAAGGCCCTAAATCATTGTTATGAGAATAAATTACCTTTTGCTTTTAATATCCGATTTGACTGTTTTATTTACAATGATACTGCTTTAAAGTTATCAACCACAGGTTCTATTTGACCAATTTTCAACGACACAAACTTCAACTAAATTTAAGTTCAGCAACATTGGTTCAAGTGTAAGACAATAATCTAGCATGACCAAAAACTACTGCTAATCAATACACTCTTCTTTTTTATCTACAAGACACCAGATTCTTAATTGCTAGATGAACTGAATCCTAAACCAACCGTCTTCTGATGCTTGAGTGAGGAACTTTTCAGACACGAAGGTTTGCTTCTCCATGTCCAGTAGCGTGTTCCACAACTGAGAGAGTTTAGAAGCACCAGACTCCACTGTGGACAACTTCAACAACAGACAGGCTGCGCCAAGCCCCTCAGTGACTCCAAGGATCTGAAGTTAAAACAATCATGTTACTTTTATAGGGGTTATTTTGGTTTTTTGACTATGAAAAGTAGGAAAAGTGTGATGTCTTTGTTTACCACTGTCTAAATTAAGTGTGAGTTACATAGATAAAAACATCAAAGTAAAGCACTTTTGTATACATTTAACAAATATTTTGAATTTGAAGGATTTTTCAAGTACTTGCTATTGCATTTCCTGATGGTAGCAAGTTTAACTTGGTGAGAAATGGTACATTTTAGAATGAAAATCTATACTAGTTTAGTTTACATAATGAGACTTAATAATATTTTTGGTATGTAGTTTAAGTAATATCTTGCTGCATTTTCATCAGCCCAAAGTAACAGTTTACTTATGCAATAGTTATCAGCTTATGTACTTCTAAAAGAACTTTTTGTTATATCTGAAATGAGGGTTTGTTTTAAGGAAAAAGCATGTAAATTAGGTAGAGATGTGCGAGCACAGGTTTTTCAGGTCGAATCGAGTTCGAGTCGAGTAATTGGCAAAAGATTCAATTCTCGAGTTTGAGCCAAGTTTAAACCAAAAAGATCAAGGATGTGTAAGTTTAAGTAACTCCTTAGGCCTAGAGCATGTAACTTGTAACCTTGTTACAAGCTGAAGTACAATTATAAATAAATTAATTATTAATCTTTGTGCAGTAACATATCAATATAACTTAATGCATAGAAAAAAATATTAAAACAACAAGAATAGAGCTCATAGACATAAATGAACTTCTACTTCTGTGAAAATAGGTAAGTGAGCATATATTTATTTATTTATTTATCTAAAAATTAACTACATTAATCCCTATTGATAAGTATAATATTGCATAATACTTGGCTAAAATATTGCATAATACTTGGCTAAAATTACTTAATACTTGCATTTTTTAGTTATTAAGGTTGCAATTACAATATAAAGTTTAATAGGTAGCCTAGAGATTTATTCTAAAACTTGAAATTTTATTTCCTACCTTTTCACTTTTAGTTTTGTAAGTTTATTACCATTATTATTCTTAGTTGGTGTGGTTTTTGTAACAGTAGGCCTACAAAATTCCCAACGGTTTGACAGTGGGTAAAGGAAAAATAAATTTTAAATTAAAGAAAATTAAATTTTTTAATCTTGTATGTTAATTTTAAACAAACATTCTGTCAAAATACTCAAAATGTATGTTAAAAAATAAAATAAAAATAGCGTACTTAAATAGGCCTACAAGTAGCCTATCTTACTGTTAAACTAAACAATTGTAGATTGAACATTGTACTGAATAATGTAATAGGCTCATACAATAGTAGTTATAGAAATCAAATGAAACCTAGACTTAGGCCCAACTCACTATAATCAATTGTATTCCATTTTCCATGTACATCCTTTTTAGCAGTGCTACTATTGTTTTTATAAATGATTTTATACTTATTTGTGAGTTATCTAATGTTTTACAAGTTTACATAATAATTATTTTCAACCACGGGAACATCAATTTATAATTATCAACTTATAACAGATGCGTTATTAAGGTCAATGACCCAAAACATCATGATTGGGCAATGTTGTATTTTGATGTAAGAATGCAAATCATGGCTTTAACTTGATTCAAATAATATTTCTCCTGGCCCCTTGCAGATTAAATTGTGGTCAATTCAAATTATATTTTTGATGATTTAAATCTCCTACACAAAAAGACAAAAGTCAAATGAGGCAAGGAAAAACCCTGCTATTGTAATCCCCCTGCCCCTACCCAGCCATTTGGGAAGTAGTGAAAGTCTAATCTAAATATAGCTCCAAGGTCTCACCCTCCCCTTCTTCCCCCCCAACCTCTACTCCACTCAACTGTTGCCATGCTGTTGCCATGCCCGGTGCCCGCTCCTTTCAAGGTCATTGCACAACCTCCTTCTAATGTTTTGCCTTTCTAGTTTTTCTATTCTGACTTTTTTAAACATAGATTTATTGCTTACATAACAGTTCAGTAGTGGAATGGAATTTTCTATTGTGAAACAGTACTTTAAAACAAAATCACTACCGATCATGTCATTCTGTGTCAAGTCCAGATTATGCCATTGCCAGTCAGTCGCCGGCGACTGCTTTGAGTTGACCTGTTGTGACAGCTATAAAAATAGGTTAGGACAGCTACCTCTTGCTTATTTCTACACTGTAGAAATATTTGTATTATTGTAGAATCTACAAATTATACAGCATTTTATGTAAACACAAGTTACATTTTAACAAATATTGATTTTTTACAATTGTAAACCAAACTCGACTTGAAACTGCCGAGTTCAAAGATAAGCTCAAGTTTCAAGGCCGTACTCGACTTGAATTCGAAATCTCGAGTACTCGCACATCTCTAAAATTAGGTTAAAGAATTATATACCCCCGCCGCAGCAAACCTGCAGACTAAGCGAATTTCCATTTGCCTTCGATTGGATTTACACTAAAATGTCTATTTAAAAATATAACATTTATTCCCTATTTAAATAGAATTAGTTTAACAAGCACTTAGGTTTGCTGCATCTGGGAGGATAAAACTGTTTTTTTTTGTAAAATTTTAATAGTTAGTAAGAAATAAAAACATTTTCCAAATTTGATCAAAATATGTTCATAAACAAGCAAACTACAACAGTTTACTTATTCTCCATAAGAATAACATGGGAGTTTTAAATTTACAATTTTTTTGAATTTTCTCCGTAACCATTAGGCGCATAATAACGCTTCAATATACTAAATTATTTGTTTTTTTAAGCTCTACAAAATAGTTTGGAAAGAAATTGTTAAACTTTATGTTTTTTGGGTAAAAAATGGGAAAACCCTATTTTTACCCTATAAAATCCCCCGTAACCCCCATTCCCATAGTCCGATCATGCTGGCTCGTGAACTCGTTCGAATAAATGTAGGTTTACGCGTTTATACCAAATTTCATCAAAATCAGATCATTTTTGTTAGAGTTATTGTGCTGACGGACACACATATATATATATATATAAATATACAGTGTGTCCCGGAACTCTCTACCAATATTTTAGGGCAATGCTCCTGGGGTAAGAAACATACCTAAATATCATATTTAAATTGTCCGGAAGTCCTTAGTTACTCACACAGCCGCCATTTTGTTTTTTTCAGTTATTAATTTTTTTCTAAAGAATGGTTAAACTTACGAAGTTGAAACTTTGCACAAACATTTATGACAACTAGACAAAGCTACCAAAAAAATTATGACGAATTTTCCAATTCATAAAACAAAATGGCGTCCATTTAAAATTTTGTTTCTTAAATAACTCGAAAACCGTTGATTTTACAAAGATTTTACAAGAATAACTTTTTTAAGGCAATTTTAATACAAACCGATTGACACCTTAGTTTTTAAGATTGAACGAGTATTAACTGAGATATGGCGATTTTAGTAGTACGTGACCTCTGAAGGTTAGTTGGAGCGCACGCTGAAAGGGGTCACGTAAAATCGCCATATCTCAGTTAATACTCGTTCAATCTTAAAAACTAAGGTGTCAATCGATTTGTATTTAAATTGCCTTAAAAAAGCTATTCTAGTATAATTTTTGTAAAATCAACGGTTTTCGAGTAATTTAAGAAACAAAATTTTAAATGGCCGCCATTTTGTTTTATGAATTGGAAAATTCGTCATAATTTTTTGGTAGCTTTGTCTAGTTGTCATAAATGTTTGTGCAAAGTTTCAACTTCGTAAGTTTAACCATTCTTTAGAAAAAAACTAATAACTGAAAGAAACAAAATGGCGGCTGTGTGAGTAACTAAGGACTTCCGGACAATTTAAATATGATATTTAGGTATGTTTCTTACCCAGGAGCATTGCCCTAAAATATTGGTAGAGAGTTCCGGGACACCCTGTATACATATTCCAAAACCATAAGAGACATCAAAAAAAGTTAAATGGCAAGTGCCTTGGATTTTTTATTTTAAAAATTGTAGTCAAGTCGAAAAAATTATTTTAACCGCCATTTTTCCAATATGGCCGCCAACTTTGATTTTTCTTATGGAACACCCTGTATTTTATGATGTATTCCGGTAGAAAATATAGTTTTAAGACGATTTTATTCTTGTGATTTTTTCATAAACCTAACCGTTTCAAAGATAATAATGGTTTAAGTTGTAAAATTTTGAATAGTTTTCGAATAAAACAGCTGGCATGCTTGCTTAGGCCTTTATCGAAACTCTTTCTCATGCAAAAATTTCAAAACTTTAACCATTATTATCTTTGAAACGGTTAGTTTACGAAAAAAATCACAATTATAAAATCGTCTTGAAATTACATTTTCTACCAGAATACATCATAAAATACAGGGTGTTCTATAAGAAAAATCAAAGTTGGCGGCCATATTGGAAAAATGGCAGCTAAAATAATTTTTTCGACTTGATTAAAAATTTTTAAATAAAAAATCCAAGGCACTTACCATTTAACTTTTTTTGGTATCTCTTATAGTTTTCGAATAAAACGGCTGGCACACTTATATCAATCACCCTGTATATATGAATTTGAACAGATGGTGTTTTTGGCCTCTAGGGACCTCAAAACGAAACAAAAAATCGGTCCCGCGTCCAGGTCTTACCATGAGTACTACGGTAATAGCTTATTCCTTATATGGGAAATTCTCTAATAGGATGGAGATAGGGGTCTCAATCCCGGGCCTTCAATCCAATCCCGGGATTTGTCTCAGCCGATCCCGGGATCCCAGGATCAATCCCGGGATTATATAATATTATGATTTTAACTTTAATGTTTTAAACTGGCCTTACTAGTGTTACACTGAGCAATGTTTCCGTTTTCTAAGTGCTGTAAATAAACATAACCACGCGGAACTTTCATCGCCCGTATTTCTTATTTACAGTGTATAAATGTTGATATGTCACTCTGGAATATAATAAATACATTTAAAAAATCACGAGCAACTGTACTCGCACGTAGACTACACGTCACGCAAATAGATAGATTAAAGATAGCTGAGAGAAAAAGATAAAATAAGAAGAATCACAAGTAGCAGCGTAAAAATGTTATTTTGACTGACAGCAATAAAACAATATAAGATACTGTAAAGCAATAAACCAACTGCTTATGTAGTTTTTTAGCGTGTGTATGAAAAAACGTAATTTTAGATTGTAAGAAATTTAATCACCACACTAATGACCAAATACGAAGATAAAGTTATAGACCCTTAAGCAATCTTTAAATTTCCGATTGCAACGTTATGTTTGCTACACAAATTGCGTTGTTTACGTTTAATGTCAAAAGTAATGCTCAAAATAACTTGTAGTTCTACTGTAATTAAGTTCTAACTAATGTAATAACATTTACAGAAAGTGAATCCAAATCGTCTAAGAACTGAAACATATATTTAGGCCTACATTCATTCGCCTATTGAGTTAAATGATAATTAAATTTTCCAATCAAAAAAGATCATTACTTATACCATTTCATATAATCATCCTAAAAAATAAAGAGTATGTGTCTCTAGTGTTATTGGACGTATTTTTATTAATTTTCCGTAAGTAAAAGTCCTCAAATTGACAAAAAAATCATTATAAACATAGGTTTTGCAGTCCCGTTAATCCCGGGATTGAAAGTCACCAATCCCGGGATTTCTAGGTATCAAAAATCGGCCGGGATCCCGTGATTGAGACCCCTAGATGGAGAGGACACAGCTAACTCACCTGGAGAAAGGTTGCAAACGCGTCATGGCACAAATAAATAACTATATACTAGGGATGGACGAGATTGGATTTTTAGTTCGAGACGAGACGAGACGGGATTTTTTATTTCTCATATAATTTTGAGACCAGATCGAGACGGGATTTCCCTTCTCATACATAACGGGAAATGCACATTCCACATTTTAACCAGATTTTTTAAAACATTTTTAAATACCTACTGATTTATGACATACTTGTTAAATACAAAAATAATAATAATAGGCAAAAATATTTAAAATCTTTTATTAAAAAACATTAATAAAAAACATCAGTATAAAAAAAGCAAATATTAATAGCCTAACTTATTAAAAATAACTCTTCGGCATAGGAAACATGGAGATAGCAGTTAGTATATAGTTCAACTTTGAAAAATATCAAACTTATAAGTCTAAAACAACAGTATTACTAGTTAAGTATCAAGTCACAATTTTCCAGTCTTGTGATATTTTTAGAATGATTTTGGAGTGACTTATTTTGGCTATGTTTACAGTAGTAAAACATGTCTCACACTGCTTGCACTAACATCATTTGCAATATCAACAAAAATTATAAAACAATTGAAGCAATATTTCCATGTAAAGAATTAATAACTAAATAAAAACGACTTCCCAAAGGAACCGCAACATCAACACGCTCCTGTATTGCAAATATTGCATTGACTTTCTGCTGGCGTTTTTTTTTTTTTTAATCTCGTCTTGAAAAATCTCGATCAAAATAAAATCTTGTCTCGTAGAACAAGATTTAAATTTGCTGAAAATTTCCCAAAATTTTGAGACCCGTCCATCTCTATTATATACACACAAAGGACTTGATATTTCACCTCTTTCAGAGGCTTCTTCAGAAGTAGATGGCAGTTACAAAGACAACAGTTTCATTGAACTATTGCATTAGTTTTTTGGCAATGATTTTAGTGCTCTTGTAGTAAAAGAGTCATAAAACAAAAGTTGGTGGGATAACAAATTTTGTACAACTGGTTTTTCCTTGCTGGTTTTAATATCATGTCAATGGCCGTTCGGAGAGTTTCGGTTGTAAGGCTTTTGTATTGGGCTGGAAAATGGGAACATTGGAGTTGGTAAATAAGGTTTTCTGGGCTGCAAGTGTGATGGTCTTTCGTTTTATAATTTTTTTTGTGGTATGAGCTCGTAAAAGTTTCTGTATGATGGTGTATCAGGCAAGATTTACATAGTTTTTCATTACATGAGTATGTGCCCTGTATAGGTTTCTCAGATGGTGTGGGGCAGTTTTGAAATTAAATAATTGAATCACCTGTGTAGGCTGCTGAACTGCTTTCTCAACACTCTTTAATAGCAGAGGTACAAGTTCCAGTCCTTGTTGTAGTGTTGAGCCATTGAAACAAGCAGACATGCATTCTATGTAGGCTGTCCTTACTACAGCAGTAGAAGTCTTCAAGCCAATACCTTTCTGTAACATGAAAAAAGGCAGTGTAAAAATACAATGAAAGATACAAAGATACCGTGGGAGTCGATGATGATGTCTACACAGCCGCAGGAGATGTTTATCATTTTGTTGCAATAGTGCAAGACGGTATATTAGATAAGACAAGATGACATTTTGGTGACTGCTGGAGACGATGATGATGTCTAAACCACGGGAAATGTTCATGATTTCGTTCTTGAAATTTACTGTTCAAGAATAGGCCTATTAAATGTGTATTTATTACACCAGTGAGTGCATGAGTTTATTCCACATGAGTTCTAACCAATGAGGTTAGTTGTAAAATAAAAAGCTTTGACTTTCACTGTGAATTGGAAGAAATGGAGACTAATAACGGCATATCGGTCAAAGACAATGTTGACCGATATGCCTAAGCACCTTCAGTATGTTGGAACAGTATGTTTGGTTCTGTGTTCTGTGATATTCAATAGCATTAAAAAGTTATAAGGTTTACCAACACGGTTCAGCACTATTAATCTTTTTGCATTTTTTACAACAGCTAATTTGAACCAGCAGCAACAAAAAGCTCTAATAAACAATGAGAACTGTCAAAGTAGGATTGGTTACAGTTATGTTTATGTTTAAATTTAATAATTGGCGACAAGCATTCAACAGAGATACTTCGATACTTGGTGTGTGTTTGAAAACGATGCAATGGAATACCACGTAACAATAGACTATAGACAATAAAAATTATTAAACATATTATATCCAATGGACAGAGTGAATACTCTGCAGAGCATTAAAATGGAAAGATAAGCCTGCTGGAATGTGTTGTTCTGGTGGAAAAGTTTCTTTATACCTGTAGGCCTATTAGAAGAACCAATGAAAGACCAGCTATGAAATTTAAAATGTTACACTGGTTAAATTCAGGATTATTAATCTTAGTAGAGTTCCAAAGCTGTGATTGGGAAACTTTTTAGAGTATATATAATAATAACGTATATACTCGCTCAGTTATATTATATTCTATATTATACGCATTGAGAAAAATTCCTACATCATGTAATAGTGAAGCGTTAAAAGCAGTCTATTATGCATTAATTCATTCACATATGCCTATGGCGTCTATTTCTATATACCTACCACAAAAAAAAAAACACAAAAAACATGGACAGAGTTTTGCTACAGCAAAAAAGGGCATTGAGGATAATGTTGGATTTAAGATCAACAGCCTCGGTAAGGCAAGTCTTTTGTATACATAAAATATTCACAGTCTACAGTCTTTTCATTTTTCAGTCAATTAAATTTGTTTTGATGAATGATAAAATTGAAATAGGTAACCATATTCATAAATATAACACAAGATCACACCGATTGGTAGAGCAGCACAATTTGGAATTTTATAAGAAAAAAACTGGTTATTTAGGAAACAAATTTTACATCACCTTCCAGAAACTTTAAAATTGGAGAAGAATCCAAATACATTTTTAAAATCATTAAAAAGATTTTTAATTGAATCAGCATTTTATTCCATTCAAGAATTTTTTTGTAATTGAAAAGTATCTCCATTGATTGTTCTATGTTTGTTTTCTGTTACAGTACTTTAATTTGCATTTGATGTGTTAATCAGATGGACTTATTATTATTTAAAGAAAGGAAAATCAATTTGAAGGTCATTAATTGTTATATATATTCGTTTTTGACTACTGTAAAATCCCTAGTTTTAGCAATCTAGATAAGAAAACTTATGTTGACACAATTTCATGTACCAATCTGTACATTAAAAAATGAAATAAAGAAGTTGATTGATTGATTGATTGATATTCAAAAATAGGGATGGGGTGATTCCGATTCTCGATACTAGCAGTAACGAAGAATCGTCGATACTTGATACTTCACTTCATTGTACTCGATGCCAATTCTGAAACGTGAGGTTAATCATGATGCAAAACTCGACTGACGCTGAAGGTTGTAAAGAGTGGCATATCATAATTTATTTGGAATAGTCAGCTAATACAAATAATTCAAAGTTAATTAGCTCACATTCGTAATCATTTTATAATAAAAAATAGCGTGCCTAAGTCTTTAACGTAATCATTAGAGGTGTGCGGATATCCGAAAAATCGGGTCGGATTCGGTTCGGTTCGGATATCCGTACCTAAACCGAGCCTAAATTTGATATCCGACACTATCCTTTATATATCCGACTTTTTCGGATAGACAACATATTTTGACGTTTTGGACAGAAAACTAAATCTTTAGTTTCCCAGGACAAAATTATAGTAATACGTTTCCAACGACAACGTAACAGCAAAGGACAAAGAAGCCGTATGATGCAATACCGATGTCTAGTTTAGTCGTTATCAGCTGTTTTGCTTTACGATTAGATTTGTCTGGAACGAACAGACATAACGCAGAAAAGAACTACCATGGTCAACTCGTGCTTGTCTCCTGATACTAGGGGCGCTATGCGTAATAGTTTTTTTTTCTTTTTTTTTAAGTACTGTTTAAAGTATAAAAATCTAGCCTACTTCTGTGCTGTTACGTAAACAATAGATTTAACATTTCCCGAAAAAAGTTAGAATAGAAACAATAGAAAGGCAACACAATAGAAGGGTGGGAGAGGTTGGGCAATGACTCGAAAGGAGCCCGGGTAACGGGTAGCAACAGTGAGTCGAGTAGACCGTGAGGGGGGAAGGGGTGTTTACGACCTTGAAGCTATATATAGACTTGCACTACTTCCCTAAATCTAAAGGACTGGCGAGTGGTATTCCAATCACAGGACAAGATGCGTTGTTTTTCGGGTATTCATTGCCCGGTTTGACTTTGAATTGTCTTATTGTGTAGAAACTTTGAATAATCAAAAATAAAATTATAACTAATCACGATTATTAAGCATTGATTGTGTATATTAAATGATTAAATGATAGGGACCAGGGGAAATATACAAACTTTTGTCATGATTTGAATTTTAACATCAAAATACAATATTGCACAATCATGATATTTTAGGTCATTGACCTTTATTATACATCCGGTATTGTTGTTTCAGAAGAGAAACACGTTGATAAATTATAAATTGATATTCCCGTGGTTAAAAAGAATTATTTTATAAACCTATAAAACAAAATCTAATCATAAAATCTTACATAAAGATAATAACAATAACAGCAATTGTAAAAAGGGTATAAAGATAACAACGTCATTATACTTTCTCTTTGTTCTTCTATTTCTTGGGTTTCCCTTCATCACGCATTCAACAAGTTGCCTAGTTGCCATGGTTACTAATCACCCATGTCATTATGAGCTTTTAAGACACAGCGCACAGCAGGGGGTAAAACTTGACGAAAATCGGTTAATTTTTACCTATTATTTAATTACCAATGTACTTTATTGGTACTGTATTAATAAATTGGCCGATTTTTGTCAAATTTTACACCAAATTTATTGAAATTTCAAAGTGAATATCAATAGAACAATTATTGCCAAATATTTTTATTCATTTAAAAGATTGATTTGTGGTATTGGGTTGCCCAATGAGTGCAGCCGAGCGGCACTAATGAGGGTTGAACCGCCTTGGGGGTGGACAATAGACGGCTTATCAGACCCAGCTTGTAAAAAAACTATTGCACACGCGTGCCTTACCTTGGGCTGCTTCAACTTTAATTTTTTCAAATGAACTGTGATGTTTCAAAATCAAAAACAATAACTTGGGACCATACTGCATAACAATAATGGCCTGCAATAATTGTTGAATTTACATTCCATTTTTAACAAACTAAGATTATACTATTCAAATACTATTTTTAAAATTATCTTGGTATTTTACTTGGGGTAATGAAGTTATGTAGGCTAGTGTAATTCTCGGTTCATCAAGGTTCTACTGAATTATGTTTGGCAGTGAATAAGTGTAGAATGAAATTTATAAATTCAGGGATACACACCTTTTACAGAGTTATAAAGCCTAATTGCCCTAATTAACTTGCCACAACATCAAATCTAGAGCCCAGCTTAGACAGGAATGTTTTCTAAACTTGGCGAACCCGCAGAATGCCACTTAAGGCCAATAATCCGTTCCAAAAACGTAAGGAAATACAATGTGAAAATAAACTTGAGATAGAACTCCTTGTCTTGTGAGAACCAGGAAACAACATAAAACATAACCTCAAGTAAACAAACCCAAACGTTTTGACATCAGTCCTCCTGAGCTAAAGTGTTGTGTGAAGATTTCGGCTGCTAGTGTACTTAATTCAAGCAACCAACTTTTGAAAATGAAAATAGATGTTGTGAATTGTGATTTTCAAGAGAGAAAAAACTGTGGACGTGGCTAATTTAAAATTCTATGATTCAAAATTGCCATATAAGTTTATTTACACAGCTTTACAGTGTTTTATATGTTAAAAATGCATATGCATCTTATTATTAACCGCGCCGAACTATCCGAATCCGAACCTCCCAATATCCTATCCGATCCGAACCGAGCCTCAACTATCCGATCCGAAATGAAATTTCACTATCCGCACACCTCTACAATTCAATTCAAAACCACTTTATTCATTTCCTGTACATAATACATTGAATAGTGTCAACAGTTGCTTAGGCCTAATAGTTGTCTAGTAATCATTGCTCGATGGATAGTTACAACTGACATTCTTCCCTTTGTACTGTATTTTGTAATTTGCTAGTATACTGTGGATAGCTTGTTATAAACACATAATACAAGTGTTTTGTTTACTTTTTCCTTGTTATTTTGTTCAACCAACAAAGTTTCTTGGCAACCCATAAGGTCAATGTTACATTTTTCCATTTTCAAATTAGTTGTGTAACGAAATACAAATTTACCTGAGGTAGTGGCTGTTGCCAATCACATTTTTAGGGCTATAAGTCCCTAATTCGAAAATTTAGTCAAAATTCTTCCGCTGGATTTCGAAATATATAGCCTATTACAGACAGACAGATAGACACACAAACAGACATTGCTCGTATTAGAATATAGGACTAGAAGCACAGCAATAATTGTTAATCAGTGCAATTAATAGTGCACATACCAGAAAAGTGTTATAAAAGAACTAACCTGTAACCATGCGATGACTTTGGGTGGGACTTGGTTGGAGAATTTAGCGCACCAAAGAGACCACATATCCAGGGCCTGAACCAGGGTCTTCTCATGAGCTGAAACACCAATCGTATTTTGTTTTTTAAAAAGGAAATCAAATTAATAGATAAGACTAACTGTAACCCGCGGGCTTTGCCCCGTTTAACTTCTTAATTTTCAAGATGATCTTGTTCGCATGGCTCAATCACGTCCTGGTTGAAGTTCGTTCGCTGTTGCTCACTCACCTTTAGGTTGGAGCTCGTTCGCTGCGCTCACTTGCCTTCAGGTTAGCTCTTTCACTACGCTCACTTGCCTTCAGGTTAGCTCGTTCACTACGCTAACTCGCCTCCAGGTTGAAGTTCATTCGCTATGCTCACTCACCTTTTGGTTGCAAATTAGCTGTTGTCATAAATGTAAAAGAAATAATAGTGCTGCACCCTGTTGGTAATCCTTGTAACTTTAATGCTATTGAACATCATAGAACAGAACCAACTTGTTTAATTGAAACAGAGCTGTTAAGATTCATTAATTTCATTTCTCATAAGGTTAACATGGGAAACTCCAGAGCCACTGGGGCGGAGCCGATTGGACGGATCACGAAATTGATGGTGTATAAACCTATTCCATGAAATTCTGCACGTATGTACCAAGTTTCGTGGCAATCGGTTCAGCGGTGTCTGAGTTTATCACTGCCAAATATATATATATATATATATATATATATACAAACATCCTCTTTTATACTTATAGATTTACAAACCGGTTCTGGGATAAGCGAGCCATAACATTTTTTTAACAAAAGTGAGAAATTTGGAATGTGGTTAAAATAAATTAAACTTATCCGCCCTTTGGGTGAAAGCACACGATTATTTTATGAATATATATATCTTGCTTTTGCACCAAGCAAGCATTTGAAAGAAAGTGTTTGCTGAATAAATTACTAACTAAAGCATAAAGTTGCATCTGAAAACACTTCAACCTGATTGTAAGCAAACCAATATGTAACACAGTTCAGGCTTGTCTAGTAGTAATCCCGACCGGAAACTGGATCAGTGCTAAGGCAATGTTCCAAGATGAGGTTGTATTGCCGTGCTTTTCAAGCGCAAGACACGAAGGGGTTTCCTCCTCGTACATTGCGGCAAAATATTTGAATGAGCGTGCTTTGTTACACTGTCTTAGCTGGTAGAATCATGAGCCTCTGTGGCTCGAATTGTTTTTAGCGAATTTCCCACAATAGGAATAAGCTATAACAGGGCTCGGGACCAATTTAATTTTTTGTTTTGAGGTCTCCAGAGGCCAAAAACACTATTTGTTCAAATTCATATATGTCTGTTAACGCAATAACTTGAACAAAAACCATCCAATTTTGATTAAATTTGGTACAAACAAGTAAATCTATGTTTATATTCTAACAAGTTGGCGAACCAGCATGATCGTACTATAGGAACGGGGTTCATGGGGGTTTTATGAAGTAAAAATTTGTTTTTACACTAACCCCCCCCCCCCCAACTAACCCCACTTTTTACACTAAAAACATAAAACTTTAACATTTCTTTCCAACTATTTTGTAGTGATGGTCGGATCCGGATATCAGACTCCCGGATCCGCCAGATCCCGAATCTCGAACCCGGATCCCGATCGGATCCTAAAAATTCCGGATCTTGGGCTGGATCCGATTTTTTCAAATTTTTTCCCGATTTTTTTCCTAACACAAAGCTGTCTGTATCCATGTAAGAGACCGATTTTCCCCCGATTTGTTTACTAACACAAAGCTGTCTGTATCACTGTACAACCCCGATTTTTTTACTAACACAAAGGAGTCTGTATCACTGTACAACCCCGATTTGTTTACTAACACAAAGCTGTCTGTATCACTGTACAACCCCGATTTGTTTACTAACACAAAGCTGTCTGTAAATCTGTACAACCCCGAATTTTTTACTAACACAAAGCTGTCTATATCACTGTACAACCCCGATTTTTTTACTAACAAACACAAAGCTGTCTGAATCCATGTACAAGACCGTTTTTTCCCTGAGTGTTGGTCTGTTGATGCAAATAACTTATATGGCAAGGCCATGTCTCGGTGTTTGTATCTAGATGCAAATAACTTGTATGTCAAGGCCATGTCTCAGTGTTTGCCTCTTGATGCAAATAACTTATATGGGAAGGCCATGTCTCAGTGTTTGTCTCTTGATGCAAATAACTTATATGGCAAGGCCATGACTCAGTGTTTGTCTTTTTTATTTATTTCTTTTTAAAAAGAGGTTGGCGGCCTCTTTTAACCTTGCATTTGCCCGTCCACATAGACTAAGCGCCCGTGCGTGGATCGTTTACAGCAGAGCAAGGAGTGAGCCGGTACAGTACAAAGGTGAACTGTACTGATAAAATGTTATCGGCAGTGACCATGATCCGAACCCACGACATCGCTGCCTTGGGCCCGAAGTCCGCGACACTACCGACTGAGCCACCGACTCACTATTTGTCTCTTGGTGCAAATAACTTATATGGCAAGGCCATGTTTCAGTGTTTGTCTTTTGATGCAAATAACTTATATGGCAAGGCCATGTTTCAGTGTTTGTCTTTTGATGCAAATAACTTATATGGCAAGGCCATGACTCAGTGTTTGTCTCTTGATGCAAATAACATTTATGGCAATGGCACGTTCCAAACCGAATCCGACCTGATTTTTCGGATATCTGCACAACTCTAGTTTTTAGTTTTGCACCTGGATGATAAGCTAACGGCCTATAATCTCGTCTCGAAAATATCCCGTTAGTATTTCAATCCCGCCCAATGCTTCGTGATAAAAAAAATCTCGAAGTTTTGGGTCTTGTCCATCACTATAAAATACCCTGTGTCTGTGTACAAGAAGATTATCTCTGTATATACAGGGTGAATGAAAAGTCAAGACTCCCCCATCTAATATTTATCTGAGTTAGAACACAGTATAGACTTCTTGTACACAGACACGGGGTATTTTACTTGTAGAACTTCACATACCCGGCTATCAGTACTGTGGACCTGGAACGAGTACAAGGAAGAGATAAACAAGAGGTGGTCCAGGCATAAATAAATTGGATACTGCATGCAAAAACCACGATATAGCATACTCAAAATCGAACTTTTGGTGGTCGTGCAAACTTAGTGCATTTTATGATTTTGAAAATTGTTAGTGTCCCCAAAAAATGAGGGATTATGGGCTCAACTGGAGATTAGATTACCCTATATATAAGATATATTAACCTTTAAACATTACCAATTTAATTTTAAACAGTATGATTTCAATTGGCATTCTGTTAATTACGTTTTTTTTAACCCGCCCTTATGACAGTGTGTATCTGGATCCGGATCCGGTACCGACATTTTCTTGGATCCGCCCATCACTATTTTGTAGAGTAAAAAAAACAAATTTATTATATTGAAGCCTTGTTACGTAATGGTTAAAGAGAACTTTAAAAAAAAAAATTAAATTTAAAATTTTTATGAGTTAGAAAACTGTTGTAGTTGGGTTGTTTATGGATATATTTTAATTGAATTTGGAAAATTAGTTACGGTATTTCATACTAAACTATCACTATCTACTTGTATATAATTCAGTTTAAAAAATCATTGTACAACTAAATTGGTAATCCTCTTTGGTCAATTTCCTCACCATTAAAAAGTGATTTAAAAAAAGCTAAGCAACCTCCGAATGTATAGTAGTGAAAAAATACTGAGTTAGTGATTTCTTTTCAACTTTGTACAACTATTCTCGACTTCTACTGGACCAGTTTTGTAAATTAATGGGTCATTGGAAAGCCTAGCTTATGTAGATATGCAAATCTATATATATAAAATCCAATGTATGTTTGTTTGTTTGTTTGTTTGTCCTTTATGGACTCCGAAACCGCTCGACAGATTGTAATGAAACGTTCAGGCATTATTAAGCATTATTCAAGGATGGTTTGTGTGAAGTTTGGTGCAGATCCGTCAAAAGGGCTCCGCCCCAGTGGCTCTGGAGTTTCCCATGTTAACCTCATGAGAACTCATATTTAAATGGAATTAAAGAATCTTAACAGCTGTTTCAACTAAACAATTTGATTCTGTGATGTTCAATAGCATTAAAAAGTTAATAGGTTTACTAACAGGGTGCAGCAGTATTATTTTTTTATATTTATGACAACAACTTATTTGCAACCAAAAGGTGAGTGAACGTAGCGAACAAACTCCAACCTGGAGGCGAGTTAGCGTAGCAAACGAGCTAACCTGAAGGCAAGTGAGCGCAGCAAACGAGCTCCAACGTAAAGGTGAGTGAGCGTAGCGAACGAACTTCAACCAGGACATGATTGAGCCATGCGAACCAGCTCATCTTGAAAATGAACGAGCATTTGAAATAAAACCACATTAGGACAGGACGACGTCTGTCGGGCCAGCTAAACATTATATACAAATCCTTATATATAATACGTGAAGGCGATTTCTACGAAACACTACTCCTCCGTTAATAATGGACGGATTTTTACAAACGATGTGTCAAAATGAAGTATTTTTTGTGTAGACGCCCCCTTTCACCAATTCATGTAATAAAAGTCCTCGGCCTTTGCCCCACAGGCCATCAAAATCCCAATGTATTTTTTATGAAGAAAGGATTTTGTTTACTTAAACAGACAAAAGATTTATACTAATCATCATAGTACTTCATAGTAAACACATGATACACACATGAGCGTTCGTTTTCAGTTTCGATAACTGGAGTGGAGTGATTGATTACACATTATCTTTGACTATTATTATATAATAGACTCCGAGTCTACTACCTGCGCTGGGACCGTCCGTGTTGTGTGCGTGTGATAGGCCTATCAATGTCAATAGGCCTTAATAGGGTCAATAGGCTTGTTTACTTTCCGTAATTAAATGTTCGTATTCATGTATTTATTGTGTGCGTGTGACATCAATGTCTTTGTTTATGTAACCCTGACGATGCCGTATTTACGGCGAAACATGTAGGTTGTTAACCTCAATCAACATTTGGATTACTTGACGAGGTATTGTACCATTACTATAGTGTCAAAACCAATTGAAAGCTGTATCAAGCAAAATTTGTGTGGCCTGTTCGAGTGGTAGTGTTCACAATTGTATTGTATTTTTTCCAGACCAGCTTGGAGGAGCGGCTTTGGACTGATAAGTATAATAGTTAAGTTTTCGTTTCATTTCGTGTATACAGTAACTGTATTTAGTTTTAGCTTTGATTGAGTATTTTTATTTATTTTTTAAATTAAATGTAATGTACAAAATAAATCCAATGTAGAGAAAAAATATAAAAAACTTTACACTGTTAAGTTGGATAGGGGAGTTCGGTCAATGTAGATTAATCGTCAGTTGGAAACGGAAGGTTCTATAAAAATACCTTCAATCTCCAGTACTTTGATGAAATGTTCTGCCGTTGATAGACTCAACATCTGAATACTACTGCCTGTGACAGCATTGTAGCTCAGGTTACCAGCACCCTGTAGAAAAAGAATCAATTATCAAGAGTTTAGTCACTTAAAAACCAACAAATTTAAATGAATTAAAATGTCAACAAACCAACCAATATATTTAGCTTTAAAAGGAATATTCAAGGAAATACTATCATAACACTTATTAAAACCAAGTTCTGAGAATAATATATATGACAATTAACCAGATAAAATATAACTAGGCCTACAAAATAACTAGTGAGTCGGTGGCTCAGTCGGTAGCGTCGCGGACTTCGGGCCCAAGGCAGCGATGTCGTGGGTTTAGATCCTGGTCACTGCCGATAACATTTTATCAGTACAGTTCACCTTTGTACTGTACCGGCTCACTCCTTGCTTTGCTGTAAACGATCCACGCAAGGGCGCTTAAGTCTATGTGGACGGGCAGATTCAAGGTTAAAAAAGGCCGCCAACCTCTTAAAACAAAAAAAAACTTTAAATCTTTATCTTTATCAGATTAAAATTCTGATATTTTCCTTATTGTGAATTTAATAGTCAAATCAACAAAATAAAAAAATGTTTGAATATTTTTTGATTAAATAATTTTTTTTGTTATAGCAAAATCCTGAACATTTTTGCTGTAGCGGCTAAATTGAGATTATATTCCGTGCTCACAGCAAAAGTGTGAACATCTTCTCCCTTCACAGTGACATCATCATTGTATCCCACGATTGTGGTAAAATCGTAAACATCACTTGCAATTGTGACGTGATTGTCAATATTCCATCAAACATCTTCAAAAAGGTTTTTTGCGATCAGGAATATACAAGCTTGTCTCAGATCCAATTGTTTCCGGCCCGAACCAATCCTGTTGACCAAATCCGCACTGAAAATATGGGGTACTCGCAGACCCTTAATAAACTCCATAGTCACAGGTAAAACTTAACACACACCTGTAAAACGCTCATCTTATGAGTGGCAACTGTGAGTTTGCCTTCAGAGCCATGGAACACTTGGAACAGATGATTGAGGCAGACCTCCAGGGCTGAGGCATCACTGCACTGAGAGGCTAAACTGCGACAAGCTGTACACGCCTCTTCTCTGGCAGAGTCATCCTTGGAGTAGAGGTTGGCTAAAACAGTAGTATGTAAAATGAATCATCAACATAGGGTGGTCCATGATAATAAACTTCTAGGGCTGAGCCATCACTGCATTGACAGGCTAAACCTGTGACAAGCTATACACGCCCTCTATCTGACGAAGTCATTCTTGGAGTAGAGGTTGGCTACAACAGTAGTATGTAAAATGAATCATCAATATAGGGTGGTCCATGATAATAAACTTCTAGGGCTGAGCCATCACTGCATTGACAGGCTAAACTGTGACAAGCTGTACACGCCTCTTCTCTGGCAGAGTCATCCTTGGAGTAGAGGTTGGCTACAACAGTAGTATGTAAAATGAATCATCAATATAGGGTGGTCCATGATAATAAACTTCTAGGGCTGAGCCATCACTGCATTGACATGCTAAACTGTGACAAGCTGTACACGCCCTCTCTCTGGCAGAGTCATCCTTGGAGTAGAGGTTGGCTACAACAGTAGTATGTAAAATGAATCATCAACATAGAGTGGTCCATGATAATAAACTTCTAGGGCTGAGCCATCACTGCATTGACAGGCTAAACTGTGACAAGCTGTACACGCCCTCTCTCTGGCAGAGTCATCCTTGGAGTAGAGGTTGGCTACAACAGTAGTATGTAAAATGAATCATCAATATAGGGTGGTCCATGATAATAAACTTCTAGGGCTGAGCCATCACTGCATTGACAGGCTAAACTGTGACAAGCTGTACACGCCCTCTCTCTGGCAGAGTCATCCTTGGAGTAGAGGTTGGCTACAACAGTAGTATGTAAAATGAATCATCAACATAGGGTGGTCCATGATAATAAACTTCTAGGGCTGAGCCCTCACTGCATTGACAGGCTAAACCTGTGACAAGCTGTACACGCCCTCTCTCTGACGGAGTCATCCTAGGAGTAGAGGTTGGCTACAACAGTAGTATGTAAAATGAATCATCAACATAGGGTGGTCCATGATAATAAACATCTAGGGCTGAGCCATCACTGCATTGACAGGCTAAACCTGTGACAAGCTGTACACGCCCTCTCTCTGGCAGAGTCATCCTTGGAGTAGAGGTTGGCTACAACAGTAGTATGTAAAATGAATCATCAACATAGGGTGGTCCATAATAATAAACTTCTAGGGCTGAGCCATCACTGCATTGACAGGCTAAACTGTGACAAGCTGTACACGCCCTCTCTCTGGCAGAGTCATCCTTGAGGTAGAGGTTGGCTACAACAGTAGGATGTAAAATGAATCATCAACATAGGGTGGTCCATGATAATAAACTTCTAGGGCTGAGCCATCACTGCATTGACAGGCTAAACTGTGACAAGCTGTACACGCCTCTTCTCTGGCAGAGTCATCCTTGGAGTAGAGGTTGGCTACAACAGTAGTATGTAAAATGAATCATCAACATAGGGTGGTCCATGATAATAAACTTCTAGGGCTGAGCCATCACTGCATTGACAGGCTAAACTGTGACAAGCTGTACACGCCCTCTCTCTGGCAGAGTCATCCTTGAGGTAGAGGTTGGCTACAACAGTAGTATGTAAAATGAATCATCAACATAGGGTGGTCCATGATAATAAACTTCTAGGGCTGAGCCATCACTGCATTGACAGGCTAAACTGTGACAAGCTGTACACGCCTCTTCTCTGGCAGAGTCATCCTTGGAGTAGAGGTTGGCTACAACAGTAGTATGTAAAATGAATCATCAACATAGGGTGGTCCATGATAATAAACTTCTAGGGCTGAGCCATCACTGCATTGACAGGCTAAACTGTGACAAGCTGTACACGCCCTCTCTCTGGCAGAGTCATCCTTGAGGTAGAGGTTGGCTACAACAGTAGTATGTAAAATGAATCATCAACATAGGGTGGTCCATGATAATAAACTTCTAGGGCTGAGCCATCACTGCATTGACAGGCTAAACTGTGACAAGCTGTACACGCCTCTTCTCTGGCAGAGTCATCCTTGGAGTAGAGGTTGGCTACAACAGTAGTATGTAAAATGAATCATCAACATAGGGTGGTCCATGATAATAAACTTCTAGGGCTGAGCCATCACTGCATTGACAGGCTAAACCTGTGACAAGCTGTACACGCCCTCTCTCTGGCAGAGTCATCCTTGGAGTAGAGGTTGGCTACAACAGTAGTATGTAAAATGAATCATCAACATAGGGTGGTCCATGATAATAAACTTCTAGGGCTGAGCCATCACTGCATTGACAGGCTAAACCTGTGACAAGCTGTACACGCCCTCTCTCTGGCAGAGTCATCCTTGGAGTAGAGGTTGGCTACAACAGTAGTATGTAAAATGAATCATCAACATAGGGTGGTCCATGATAATAAACTTCTAGGGCTGAGCCATCACTGCATTGACAGGCTAAACTGTGACAAGCTGTACACGCCCTCTCTCTGGCAGAGTCATCCTTGGAGTAGAGGTTGGCTACAACAGTAGTATGTAAAATGAATCATCAATAATAATTTAATGATGATGATAATAATAATGATAATAAACCATTATAATAATCTTTTTTATAATGACTATAGTTTCGGGGCCAACAGCCCCATTGTCAAATTTTCTGTCTTGTTAAATTACCGTTAATAGCATTGGATTAAATAAATATATAGGATGGAGAGGACACAGCTAACTCACCTGATGAAAGGTTGCAGACGAGTCAAAGAACACATAAAATCACACACATAATAATACTAAATATTTTGCCTCTTTCAGAGGCTTCTTCAGAAGTGGGCCTAGATGGTAGTTACAAGAACAACAGTTTAAAATAAGATGACTACAACAGTTTTAATAGCATTGGTCATCATTGAAGTTCACGTATATATTAACTTAACAGTAATTTAAAAGACAGAAAATTTGACAATGGGGCTGTTGGCCCCGAATCTATGGTCATTATAAAAATACGACTTGGATTGAGGATGTAAATAAGGTATTTAACCTATTAATATTATTTGGAGAAATAGCCTCTGGATCGTTATTAATCATTATTATAATCTAAGGCTTACCTTACGATCCAATTAATTTATTGTGGAGACCTAGGTTTCTACGCCGGAGCGTTATCGTCAGTCCTAGGCTAAGCTAAACTTTTTGTGTTTCATCTCTTACTTGAGATATTGTCGGTTGAATAGAATATTTACAAATACAAACACTGATTATACATAAATATTTACAAAGACACAGTGGAGAAGTTAGATGCATGGCCATGATCTTGTCAGTCCTAACCTCCAAAGTTGAGATTTGATAAGGATGATTTTAGTGACTTCAAATTTTTTGCATGGTTGTTATCACTCCTTAGAGTAATGTATTTTTGCGATTAGGTGTTTGATGATATTTCATTGAACTTTTTATTTTGTATTTCAATTAGTGAATCAAACATGATGTTTGCGGCAAAGTTTCATTGGTCGTTTAGTATGAGGGATGGGTCCGTTTTGGTAGCGTTATATATATGAAAATGCTCTATTGTATTTAATTTGTTGCTTTTTGGGGCTTTGTGTAGGATCTCTAAGTTAACATCTATTGAGGTATAAGAGTGGTTTTCTGAGATTAAATGTTCGGAATATGTTGATGAGCTGGTTGGATTCTTTTTGGGAAGATGTTCTTTGAAGCGTTGGTAGAAACTTCTGCCCGTTTGCCCAATATAAAATTTAGGGCAAGAGCCACAAGTTAATTTGTAGACTCCTGTACCTTCAAAGTTGTCTGTAGTCGTGGGTTCCTTTTTGTTTAACAAGCTTCCGAGGTTGTTTGTTGATCTGTAAGCAACTTTGAGTCCTTGTTCTTCTAGGATTTTATGGAAGGAGTTGTTAATCTTTCCATGGTAGGTTGTGGTCACAAATTCTTTGTTAGTTTTGGGCTCTTGGTTCCTTTGGTTTCTTTTTTGTTTTATTATTATCTTTGTGATAAGGGACGGGTGATATCCATTATTAACTGCTATTTGCTTAATGATGTTTATTTCCTTTTTGTAATTCTCTTCGGAAATTGTTTTTTGTTCTGGTGATAGTTAAGTCTAGGTAGTTAAGGGATTTCAGATTCTATTTCTAGGGTGAACTTAAGTTTTGGGTGGATGGTGTTGATATATTTCAGTAGGACTTTGAGCTGTCTTTTGTTACCTTGGAATGCAACTATGATGTCGTCAGCATATCTGTGGTATTCTAATATTTTAGAAGTTTGTCTGTTCTTTTCATTGTTCAGGATTTCGGTGTTTTCAATATGGTTCAGAAATATTTCAGACATTATTGCTGATAGGGGGGAACCCATGGCTAGTCCTGTGTTTTGGGAGAAGAACTCGTTGTTGTATTCGAAGTAGTTTTGTGCTAGGACTGTTTGTATTAGATTTATGAGTTCGTTGATGTAGGCAGTGTCTCTATTACCCTGTTGCATTAGGTTCTCTCTTAGTATGGCATTTCATAGCATTTCATAGTATGGTATATAGGCTCATAACTGTCCCACTTACCGAAGAGAATTACAAAAAGGAAATAAACATCATTAAGCAAATAGCAGTTAATAATGGATATCACCCTTCCCTTATCACAAAGATAATAATAAAACAAAAAAGAAACCAAAGGAACCAAGAGCCCAAAACTAACAAAGAATTTGTGACCACAACCTACCATGGAAAGATTAACAACTCCTTCCATAAAATCCTAGAAGAACAAGGACTCAAAGTTGCTTACAGATCAACAAACAACCTCGGAAGCTTGTTAAACAAAAAGGAACCCACGACTACAGACAACTTTGAAGGTACGGGAGTCTACAAATTAACTTGTGGCTCTTGCCCTAAATTTTATATTGGGCAAACGGGCAGAAGTTTCTACCAACGCTTCAAAGAACATCTTCCCAAAAAGAATCCAACCAGCTCATCAACATATTCCGAACATTTAATCTCAGAAAACCACTCTTATACCTCAATAGATGTTAACTTAGAGATCCTACACAAAGCCCCAAAAAGCAACAAATTAAATACAATAGAGCATTTTCATATATATAACGCTACCAAAACGGACCCATCCCTCATACTAAACGGCCAAAGAAACTTTGCCGCAAACATCATGTTTGATTCACTAATTGAAATAAAAAATAAAAAGTTCAATGAAATATCATCAAACACCTAATCGCAAAAATACATTACTCTATGGAGTGATAACAACCATGCAAAAAATTTGAAGTCACTAAAATCATCCTTATCAAATCTCAACTTTGGAGGTTAGGACTGACAAGATCATGGCCATGCATCTAACTTCTCCACTGTGTCTTTGTAAATATTTATGTATAATCAGTGTTTGTATTTGTAAATATTCTATTCAACCGACAATATCTCAAGTAAGAGATGAAACACAAAAAGTTTAGCTTAGCCTAGGACTGACGATAACGCTCCGGCGTAGAAACCTAGGTCTCCACAATAAATTAATTGGATCGTAAGGTAAGCCTTAGATTATAATAACTATTAATATTATTATTATTACTCATTATCAATCCAGGAAGCAACATGGATAAATTACTTTGTTGCTTGGAATCGAATTTTTTTGACATTATCTACCAGGTTTTGGAATCTATTTAAAATAAATTCGAGAAATTATCAATACTAACACTAAAAGTTATACAGGACTTACGAATTACATTATATTCCTGTTGACTTTAAATGGCCAAGGGTGTAATAACCCAAGTTGCACTGTACTGAGTTAGTCAACCATTATTGTAAGAACTGGGAGTGCAATGGACAACAGAAGAGATGGATGGCAAACATTTAATGAAAATATGTGGGGGTTTTAGTTGTCAAACGGATTATAATAATATACCTTAATGTTTACAGAAACAAGACCACGATAACAAGTGTGCGGTACTAATATTACATACATTTACAATAGAAACAATAAGAATAAGTGACAAGTGTTAGGGGTGCAAGCTGCTGAGTAAAGGTGATGTAATTAAACACAGATAGTTCATCACATCATAATAAACACCATAGATAGTCGCAAAGTACCAGCCAGCACCTACAGAATCCATTATGGTTCATTCATCTAAATGGCAATAGAACTATTCTAGGCATCTAAACAATATTATCCTAACTATGATGTCGTTGATACCAGACGGATAATAAAATTAGACTTATAAGTTCATAATAATTATCTCAAATTCAAGATATTAAGCTGTACAAAATTTTAAAAAGAAACAACAGTTCAGTAAGTAAATACACCTCATGACTTACTTGTAATACTCTTCGTGATGTCCAAAGCATACTGGCTCAAATCCAGCGACAGTCCAGACAGAATGTGTCCCAGACAAGGCAAGATAATCTCCGGGTTTCGCAACATTGCCTTCTGAATAGCAGGTAGCAGCAGGCAGCGGAACTCTTCATGAGTCACTCTTGTTAGCAACGGTTTGGCTTCTCTGTATCCAAACAACACACAGAATCATTCAATCAAGAATTAGACATAACTAAATGTCTGTGTCCCGAGCTAGGCTACCATATATGGCTAGTAATAAAGGTAGGCCTACTGTACTGTGCAAAGATATGAGTTTCTTTCTTTGGTAGAGACATACAGCTTTATGATAAACTTTGCTTAACAATAAAGCATCTTGTTAATAATATATTTTCACTAAAAGTTAAAATCATTTGAAGAAACTTGATCAATGAACCTATAACTTACTAAGTACAGGGTGTCCCACGTAAGAAATATTTACAGCTTATATACAACTTAAGTAATAGTGTAAACACTAAAAAAATGTTTTTCTTATTCTTTTATTGCTATTAAAATGTTTTTCACTCATCATTGTATAGTTTTGTACTCCCGGAGGTAACTTCCGTGAGGGCCCTTTGGTGTTTGAAAATCAATGCGCGTGACGGAAGGTTAATGCTTCATATCTTAATACCATTTGTTATCCATTTCTTGTCCATCCATTTTTCCATTTTTTTGTCGTTGGAAAGATGACCCTTACTGTATTTCAAAGGTTAGAATTCATAAAAAATTCTTTAAAAACAGCCAAATAAGTTTGAACAGTTTTGAAAGATTTGTCTAAGTGAAACTTGCCAATTGGTAACATTGATTTTGCGAACAAACAAATTAATATTCTTATTTGAAAATAAGACCCTAGGTTTAGCAGTTTTGTGCTAAGATGAAATATTTCTAGAAATCATAATAATTGGCCCATGATCTGCTATACATTGATTACCGAAAAACGGCTTAACGCACAAGGATGAAATGAAATTGATTCCCGCTAAATCGACCCCAAGGAATAACGTAAAAATATTTTAATAATACTTTTTCCCGATACAGGGTGTGCCAAAAACTGGGGGTCAATAGTTTGAATCTCGAAATTTTCAAACGTAAACATATGTCATGTTATACATAATTTTAAAGGTATTAAATAGACAAACATTTTTGCGAAAACAGAAATGAATTATCTTTTTCCGTTTCAAAATGGCGGCAGTTTATTAGGAAAAAATCAATATGTTTTTAATAATCTGTGTTTCCTATACCAATGCACTTAGCCTTTCCCGGTTGAATTTTCTTACTCGTTATGAAATTAGCTTTACTGTGATATGCTACAAGTAACAGTTTTTTGAAATAATATAAAATCAAAAAAAATTATTTTTGAAAATTTGCAAGTGCCCATTGTAAAAAATTTTCAAATAGCAACATATCAAGTGGCACATCATTTTATAGGTCTTTTAATTCCAAGCAACTTTGTTATTTACACTTACTACATATCTCTTTAAGTTTCATAAGCTCCAACGGTACAGTCTCTGCCAGAAGTCGCTGCAGAGGTTGCCGTGGTTCGGTATGTAGGCGCTACACGTTCTACTGTTGTAATAGAAAGTGTCCCGGGACCAGGTCATACCATGAGTACTACGGTAATAGCTTATTCCCTATAGGGGAAATTCTTTAAAATGTAAATTTGATTTGCACATTGTGTGCTAACACATATTTGAGTCACACAGCTGAGTGTTCTTCATCATTAAAATGTACGTATAATCAGTAGTTGAGCGCTGGCGAACGGTGCCTGCTATCTGACTGTGGCAACCACTAGAGAGACTTCTGGCCCAGACTGTACCGTTGGAGGTTATGAAATTTGGACATTATGAACCGCTCTGTTTATTTGGAACGTTGGATTTTGTGAAACTTGGACATTGTGAAACAGTGATTATTTGAATGTTGTAGATTTGGAGCTTATGAAATTTGGAGGGTATGAACCGCTCTGTTTATTTAACATTTAAACGTTGGAGTTTGTGAAACTTGGACATTGTGAAACAATGATTATTTGAATGTTATAGTTTTGGAGCTTATGAAATTTTGACATTATGAAACGCGCTGTTCATTTAATATTCTAAGCGTTGGAGTTTGTGAAATTTGGAGTTTATGAAACGCTCCTGTAAAATGCATGTTGTTTGGGTTTAACACAAAAATCTCCATTTAATTTTAGTTTGGAGTTCTAAATTTTCTAAATTTTCGTTGCACACCCCCCACTACCCCCGCATAAGTGCAGACTTTGATCTCATCCATCCCCACCCCCAAAGCCATGTTCTAGTTACGCCACTGGGTTACATCAAAGGGCACGTATGGAAGCTACATCCAGTAGTGATGCGAACCACTCCACAAGGTCAACTGACAACTGGGAAAGGGTTAAGAGTAGCCGAAACCGATTCCGCAAAAGAGGTGCATGAGTTACCGCAGGCGAAACTATGGTTTTTTAAGTAACTAAGAAAATTCAACCGGAGAAGGGCTAAGTGAATTGGAAAAGGAAACACAGAGTATTAAAAACATATTGATTTTTGCCAACAAAAAAACTGCTGCCATTTTGAAACGGAAAAAGATCATTAATTTCTGTTTTGGCCAAAATGTTTGTTTATTAAATTAAATACCTTTAAAATAATGTATTACATAACATATGTTTACATTTGAATACTCCGAGACTCGAACTAGTGACCCTCAGTTTTTGGCACACCTGTATCGGAAAAAATATTGAAAAATATTTGTGTGTTATTCCTAGGGATGGATTTAACAGAAAATAATTTTATTTCATCCTTAAGCCGTTTTTCTGTAATTAATTTGAGACACCTTACGTGGGACATCCTGTATAGTGTATATAAGATAAACTGAAAATTTATTTTTTGAATTCATAATATTGGCAACACTTGTCTCAACAACTCACTGGCCACCATTTTTGATACAAAGAAAACTCCCTCTTCCTTAGTTGAAAATGCTGTTGGTGACAGTGAAATATTCTTATGTTTTGTGTATACGTGTTTAAATTAAGTCTTGAAACAAATCTGTATTTTTTAAACCGAAATAGATAGAAATATTCTGTTTGTGGCGTTGATTGTTAACAAAGGTTCCGTAATTTTTTACATCAAAATATTTTTAACCCCCCTAACAGAGTAGGGGGTAGGGGTTGACTTGTTTTTTTTTCAAATAGCAACCCCTATTGAGTGACCCCTCATTTTGAAGAATTTGTCAAAACAAACACAATTACGCAAACCCGAGGTGGATATCTCACCCCTAGCCAAAATGGCAGGTATTCCAAAATTTGATTTACTGGTATGTGAAAAAGCACCAATAGTGAAACAAATCTGTATTTTTAAAACCGAAATAGATAGAAATGTTCTGTTTGTGGAATTGATTGTTAACATAGGTTCCGCAATTTTTTACGTCAACAATATTTTTAACCCTATAACAGGGCAGGGGGTGGGGGTGATTTTTTTTAAACAGTCCCTATCGAGTGACCCCTAATTTTAAAGGGATTGTCAAAAGAATAGGGGTTGCTATTTGAAAAAAATAAGTCATCCCCTACCCCCTACCCAGTTAGGGGCCCAGGGGGGTTAAACAATTTTTTGGTGCAAAAACTTGCGGAACCTTTGTTAAGAATCAATGCCACAAACAGAATATTTCTATCTATTTCGGTTTTAAAAATACAGATTTGTTTCAAGACTTAATTTACACACTGTAAAGAGTTGTGTTTCCTGTGCCAGTTTGGACTCTTACCCATTCAGGTAAGCCTGCTATCCTCGCAAAAAATCCTAATTCATATGATAATTTTTTGAACATATGTGAAGGACCAAACTTTTTCCTTCCGCGGCATCTCCCCTATGCAAAGCACGGGTTTAGCAGCTAGTAGTATTATAAAACTATAATATTACCTGATGATGTATAATGGAGGCTTAGCTTTACAACTCACGGCCACTTTGATAAAGATGTCCAGTAAATTGGTCTGAAATGATAAACAAAATCTGAAATCATAATCATTTTCAGGGGCATCTCTTACAATACGTGAGGGCTGTTTTTTGTGAACACTACTCCTCGCCTATTTGTGGACCAATTGTTTAAGGTGTCAAAAGATTTGGCCCAATTCGTAGTTTTGCATTAAGGTTTTAGAATTTAAAAGTTCCTACCCTTAAGGGCGTGAGACCCTTTCAAAGGTCGGGTTTTCACCATAAGAATTACATTGAACAGATTTAAAAACAAAAAACAGCTGTATCTAAAAAAAAACTCACCAGCTTCTTGGGAGTAAATGTTATTGTTTGTAATATTCAGGACCATAGACCAATCCAGTTTATTAGTTTTGTTGGAAGAACAGAGAATTCCTTGAGTCTGAAGAAGTAATATTGAAAACAGGAGGAGGTTAAAAGGAAATCTTATACGTCTGAGAAGAGTAGAAGATAGGCCTGGTCTAACAGTAAGGAATCCGCCAGATACACAATCACTTGGAGAGATGAGTAGTTTTTACAAGTTATGCTATGCAACTTATTTTGCAAGTAAAAAAATCATGAAGAATATACAAATCATGTTGTCACAGTGGTAAAGAAAACCTACCTAATGTCAGATCAAATGAATATATGCAAGAAACGATTTTTGGTAACAGCTATAAGTCGGGAAACGTTTGTATAAAACACTAAAAAAATAAGGCCGACTTTGAAAAATGATAAAATATTTTTACAATAAGTGTTCATTATTTCGACCTATTTTAATAGAGTGAGTTACATTAGTTACATAAGCTTTGAGTCTTGACTGTTATTACTGAATTTTCAAATAACGCCTGTATAATAACGGTACTTGACAATATTGCTCGATTTTGAGCACTCATAGAAGATGACTGTTATTTTTTAATAACTCCTGTATAATACCGGTACTTAACAATAGCTCGATTTTGAGCAACAGGCACACTAGTACTAAAATTAAAATTGAAGAGAATGCTACAACTAAAACATTTTGGACACAACAAAAATGTCCTTGATCACAGTAAGACGGTTAGACAATGACATTTTTGGAAAAAACTAACTAATTCAGGGTGTCTACCAGGCCAACCAGAAAAAATTCATGAGTAATTTCAGGTAGTTCAGGTCGTATTTAACATACCAAATTTTCTAACGCATTTTTGCGCCAACTCTGTTTAATCTCTGTTTAACGATGTTTGGTTAGTGTCATGTGAGATAATCCGTGACTAACCCTTTGAGTATTATTTCATGTTTAACGATTTATATGTGTTTTAATATTTTGTGTTATGAGTTTACGACAGGTGATGAGATTGTTTTGGTGCGAATTGGATAACGTTGGCCTATGGTCTGGGACTGGCGAGTCGGCGTGGACTCAGCGTGTCTTCGGCAGCTGTGGTAGCGTGTTGAACCTACCTTTGGTGACGACTATGGAGTTCATCGACGCTTCAGCAGCTGCAGTAGCGTGTTAAACCTACCTGGAGTGACGAGCAACTCACGACACTGGAACCAGCGACTCGTTAGCGGACGGAAGATTGACGTAGAGCAGTCAGCTAGCCTACTACAATTCTCGAACGGCTGGGGTTGTGTGATAAACCAACCAGAGGAACTCACATCACGCTGTTGGCCAGCTTCGGTGTTCTTCGATTGATTATCCAGCGGCAGTTGTTGAGTGATAAACCAACCATTGCAACGGAGAACAACGGTCAGCGAGACAACCGGGGCTTGGTCAACGTGTACCCAACACTCGAGTGTTGAACCGTTGTGGTGGATCTTGGCGTGGTGTAAATCCAAGGACTATCCGCATTGGGGGTGGCACATAACAACTACGAACGGACGGCCACCACGGGACTCACTGCGGCGGACGAGGCAGTGACACAGGACCGTGTGGTAAACCGGATCCCCGAGGACTACCTGCGAGGGTGCAAGTAGCTCATTTCGGGAGTGGCAAACGACAACTACGAACGGACGGCCATCACGCAGCTCACTGCGGCGGACGGGGCAGTGACACATGTCCGTGTGAGAAACCGGACACTCAGGACGTCAGCGACGAAAACGTACGAGTAGGCTCCCCGGCTGTAGTACCGATATAGGGCGTGCGGGCTGGAAAACCCAGGCCGCGGTGAAGACCAGGTGAGGATGGCAGAGCCCCAGCCTACGACGACGAGTGGGGGGGGGGGGGGGGTGGAACGCACCTCAGCCTGTAGCCGTGGTCGACGGGTGAGCTCGAACCCTATGCTACAGTGGCGGGTTGAGTCGGCTAAGTTCAAGGTACCGCGACATCACGAGTCTCTGTGCAGAACCAGACAGACACCCAGGACGGCGGCGGAGACCGACGGGGCCGAGGACTACCGGCTGTAGTCTCGATTGGGGCCACGATGGACGCCCAGCCTGCAGTGAAGGCGTAGTAGCTGCGATGTTAGGTGGGTGATCCGAACCCCGACTACAGCGGCAGGCGGAGCTCCCCAGGTACCACCACGACGCTGGGATCTGTGTGTTGAACCAGATTCTCCTGAGGTTACATGTGAACACGAAAACGATTTCGGGGATGACGACTAACGACAATGGAAGGTCATCACGTCTCACTGTGGTGGAAGGGGCAGTGACAGGGGTCCGTGCGATGAGCCGGATCCCCACGATACGACAACATCGACGAAGTGTCCCTGCAACGAGCAGGACACTCATGCGACGACGACAGTGACAGGGGTCCGTGCCAAGAGCCGGATTCCCATACGACGACAAGCACGAGCAACGGGCAGGGGACCAATGCCCCACGTAGTACGTCACATCTATGGCGCCCGAACAAACGACGGCAACGACGGTATTCCTGCAACGAGCAGGATACCTATACGACGGCAGAGACAGGGGTCCGTGCGATGAGCCGGATTCCCAGACGACAGCACCGACAGGGATCTGCGTGGGAAACCAGATGCCCAGACGACAGCGGCGACGGATGGGAAGTATGACCCGAGTCTGCAGTAGCGTCGACGGCGGTCACAACAGACCCAGTCTGCAACGACGGCCAGGTGAGGCCGGATGAGCCCCAGCCTACTACGACGTGTGGGGGGGCGGAATGAGCCTCAGCCTGCGGCTGTGACGACAGGAGGGCGACAGTGGACCCCAGGCTACAACGGCAGACGATACTTGGTGTGCAGAACCCAAGTGCCTGGCTGGATGTCGTGTGCTGAACACGAAAACGATTTCGGGGGTGGCGACTAGCTTCCATGGAAGGCCACCACGTCTCACTGCGGTGGAAGGGGCAGTGACCGGTCCGTGAGGATTAATCCGGACTACGGCGACATCTGTGTGATGAACCAGATGCTCGAGATCTCCGACGCCGTAAACCTCAGCCAAGGCGACGGCACGGCTGAGCGTGAAAGTACCATCTCGCCGCGAACCCTGGAAGGCCAACCCAAATCTCCGTACTGAGGCCTATCCGGAAACTAAATGTGCTGTATAGCACGTGGTACTTAAACCTGGCATGTAAACTAGTGTTATATGTTTCAGTGTGGAAAAGTACGTCACAACCACAATGCTTTTTTAGCGCTAAAATACAGTTCGCTATTTTAGTTCTCGACAAAAGCATACTTAGTTAAAGGAACAAAATTTATAATTACTGTAATATTGTCTGACAGAAGTATGCAATTTAAAAATATTACTCTGATTAAATAATCAGAAAATTCAAAGCTTATCCTCAAAACTAAAAATTATCAAAAACTTAAAAAAATAATAATGTGTTGATACCAAAATTTATCGAATATCCGTACCGATACGTGAAAAATACATTTTCAATACCAATAATTTTAATTTTACCAAATTTTCTGTAGGATTACTACACCAACCCCTGTAATGGTAAGTCTTTATTTATGTAGTTTTTATTTATGGTGTCTTTATTTATGGAGTATTTATGTACTTTCATAGAGTATTTAAATTTGGTGTTATGGGTTGTTTTTCATGTGGCCTACAGAAAAAATTAATGCAGCATTAAAAATTCCAAATACCCAATTAAAGTTTTAAACCCTCCCGCAGCTGTGTGAAAATCATCATTGTCTCCCTCATTCACAGAAACATCGTTGTTGTCATACGCGATTGCAGCAAAATCACTAACATATCCTGCCGCCGTGTAGACATCATCATCGTCTCCCGTGGTCATGGAAACGTCATAGTCCTCATGCGCAATCCCGGCAAAATCACTAACAGTGGAGAGTGGGGCACATTTGAAGGGTTTAAATTTGCCATCATTTTTATACTCGCAGGCCATTGGACCAGATGTAAAATGTAGCCCTCCAACAGGGCAACAGGTTGCATTCATCTCCCTCCATTTCTGATCAGTTCTTAGTTTGTTGTTGGGAAAAGAAGTTTTAGAGAGCCACAAGAAAATTTTTTTAGCAGTAGGGGTTTGTAAATATTTTATAGAAAAACTACATTACAGATAAGTTTGATCCATCTACCTTAAAATGGCTTATATATATTCAGATACAATTATGCACTTCACATTGATAAATTACAATCCAAGAAAACATATTTTAATTTTTTGCAAAATGGCGTCTTGTGGGGTAGATTTGAACAAGAGTCTGAGGGGTACATTTGAACACCATGTTTTCCTCTGGTAAGTATGTTGTTCAAATGTATCTCAACTGATTATATTTTTTTCCTATACAAAACAGTAACGAATAATAATAATTTAAGACTATAAGCTTCCTCAACTAACAATGAGTGTGAGAACTGCACGTTCAGCGAACAAATATAATTTTGCGATTAACTTTGCAACATTTAGCTACAAATAACATGAATCTAAAACAATAAATGAAGAATTAGTTCCAATAGAAATAAGAACAGTTTTTATCAACTCACATGCATAACAATTTCTGTAAAATAAAAATTTTCATTTTACTTAATTAGTGTGTTCAATTGTACCCCACTTCTTGTTCAAAAGTACCCCACCAGTGGGGTACTTTTGAACGATTTGCATACCTTTGTGAAAACAGATATTGCACATTAACATGTTAACTTTGGAGGGTTTAAAAAATAACTCAATTAAAGCTAACATTATGTTACAACTAAATGTAATAATACTTTTATTAAAAACACATAAATTCACCTATTAACAAATTAAAGTTTAAAAAGTGTTCAAATGTGCCCCACTCTCCCCCATATCCCGCTTGCATTCAGACATCATCATCGTCTTTTGCGGTCTTGGAAACTTCATCGTCGTCATTCGCGATCACGGTAAATTGGAAATTCCCTATAGAAATACAAAATTCACACATCATTCCAGGTTTTCCAAGTCGGGGGACACCTTGTACTTTAGCCCTGCGACACATGCATTAAAAACCGTTGTTGTTTTTATTAAGTATGAAAAAAGTATGACAATCATTGATCTTCACCAGTTAATATTATCAATCATCAGATGATCAATTAATCAGTTTATCATTGATTAATTGATTAGTTATTCAGAGTTGTAATTTATTTAGGCTTTTTTGAACTCAATGATAATAGAACAGTCAGTCTACTTTAAATTTTACAATGCTGTGAGAAAAGCTAATAACACATCAAATTGTCAAATTACCTTAAGTTTGTCGATGACATCTACGCTCTTGTTCTCGGCCAGGTGACGTATGAAGAATGACCCAAACACCACAGAATACACGGCCTGAGGCAAAGCTGATGTAGCGTTGGTGTATAGATCTCTGTGTTGTTTCCACTGGCCGTTCAATATATGAAAGGCTTTCTCTGTTTTCCTGTAAGATAGAAAAATGATAGGTTACAGGATTGCAATCAACTGTGAATTTCACTGACGTTGATTGATTTGCTCGATGAGATTCATTCTAGTCATTGATAACACGGTTAGGAGGAAAAAAATATTAATATAACTAATACAATTGGCAAAAGATACAGGTTTTAAAAATCAACCTGCATCACATTATCTTTTAAAACAAACAAAAAATCATTGCAAACAACTCTCTGGAGTATTATCAATTTAGAAGTCGGTAATAAACAATCAAAGCACCCCAAAAAATACATCTTTAAAGGAATCAAATAATGTGATTACTGATCCCAGAATTATATCAAACAAGTTTAATGATTATTTTTTGAAAAATATTAAGGATAACAGTTTGTCTCTGTTGTGTTATGATAATATAGATTCCTCTGTAAACTGTGAAAACAAAGTTTAGTTTTGAAGAAGCATTTTACATTTAAAAATTTAAGCCCAGAGGAGGTAAAAAAGGTGGTAAGCTCGTTCAAAAATAAAAACTACTGGCTATGACGAAATCCCCCTTAAAGTTATTAAAAGTGCCAATCATCACCTAAGCCAAATTCTAACATCAACTCCTCATTTGTATCAGGAATGTTTCCAAATCAACAATTAAAAATAGCAAAAGTTGTGCCTGTTCACAAAAAAACGTGACAAAAACTGATAACAAACTATCGTCCCATCTCCCTACTGCCTGTAATATCAAAATGTTATGAAAAAATTACCAACACAATTAGCTGAATATCTTGAAAATACTCAACAACTCAATAATTGTCAACATGGCTTCAGGGCTGGAAAGTCTGTAGTAACAGCCGCGGTTTCCTTTATTGAATCTATAACTGATTCAGTCGATAACAGTAAATAAACCACAGGAATCTTCATGGATGTATCTAAAGCATTTAGCAGTGTTAATCGTTCTCTTTCATTAAAAAAATTACAGTCATTACATTACATCTATCAAAAAATTTAAAAAAATGATTTGAATCGTATTTAGAGGATCGACTTCAGTTCGTTGAAATAACTCATACATAAAAAATCAACCATGTTTCCAAAATTTGTTCTGAGCCCAAAACTGATAAACTAAAGTCCCATAAGGATCGATTATAGGCCCTAATTTCTAAGATACATTAATGATATTTCAAATTCCTTAACCTATGTGCCACAAGGTAATCTCTGCCTCTTTATGGATGAAGCAAACCTTAAAATATCAGCAGGTACTATAGAGGAGGTTGACAGCTAGGTTTTTGTCAGTTGCAGATTATCAACATTTTCTGGTTAAAAGTAACCTAGACTTAAATATTCCAAAAACTAATGTTATCAGATTTTACATTCTAGAACATTCTAAAACAATAATTTCACCGAACCAAAAATTATACTAGATCTAAAAGAAATTGGGTGTAGGACCAAACATCTAAGCTGGGACTCTCACGTTGATAAAGTATTATAAAAAAATAAGTTCTGGACTTTATTCACTGTACATTCGTCTTTCTTCTGGAATGAAAGAACATTCCAGAGTTTCTTTAATTTAAATTAACCCTTTCGCCTCTCTTGTCGGCCATGAGCCGACATCGGCCGTTTCGCAACTTAAACACATTACGGCTTGAAAAAATAAAAAAATAAAAAATATTTGAGTTTTTTGGGGAAATTTTATTTTTAAATCGTTTTTATTAGGTCGCTTTCTTGTCCGGTACAAATTTTGCAATCAATTTTATACTAACTTCCCGATAAGCTAGAGACTTAAAACTTGAAACATAGCTCACAAATGGATGACAATGCAATATTATATTATTTAATTTTCATATTTCCCTTGGGCTACGACTCATGGACTTGTTTTTATTAGCTTGCTTTCTTACAAATTTTGATATCGATTTCAAACAAAGTTCCTGATGAGCTAGAGGCTTGAAACTTGAAACATAGCTCACAAATGGATGACAATGCAATATTTTATCATTTAATTTTCATATTTCCCTTGGGCTACTCCCCATGGGCTTCCAAATTTTCCATGTTTACATTTCGGAAGAATGTAAATATATCAATTAATTTCAGTCAGCTGTAAAATACGAGGCATGTTTTTTAAGTAAGTACCGTTTTTAAATTTCTCCGTTCTAGCACTGTGATTGGCATTTTCGACATTTTCGCTGTGTATGGGCATCTATTGATAAGACAAGACCTAGCCGGAAATTCGAGAACATCCGGTTTCGAGCATTCAAAATGGTGCCTCCAATTGAGACTGCCGCCGACTGTGAAGTGCACGCTGTCATTAGATTTTTAAGTGCTAAAAGGCGTGAAAGCCATTGAATATCATCAACAGATTAGTAAAGTGTATGGAGATAACATTATGAGCGATGGAATGGTAAGCAAGTAGGTAAGGGCATTTTAACCCTAGAGCTGGCACTAGTGTAACGCTGTACTGGCATAGGGATATTATTGATTACTAGAGAACCCGTGCGGCTATGCGGCTCAATGAGCCGCATAGCATGAAACACAACACCGAGGAAAACGTTATGCTTAAATTCGAGTAATTCTAGTTACATCTTAGAGCACCGGTAATAATTTTTACCATCGTGTTATCCGGTTAATCGGTCTTGTACAATGTACATAGATACAGACAGCTTTGTGTTAGTATTAAAATCGGGAAAACATCGGTCTTGTATGCCTGGTTCACCCCTTGCTTATATGTCTATGTCATTCATTACAGGTCCACAGTACTGATATCCGGGTATGTGAAACTCTACAGGTAAAATACCCTTTGTCTGTGTACAAGAAGATTATCTGTGTCCATACAGGGTGAATAAAAAAGTCAAGACTCCCCCATCTAATATTTTTCTAAGTTAGAACACAGTACAGTCTTCTTGTACACAGACACAGGGTATTTTACCTGTAGAACTTCACATACCAGCCTATCAGTACTGTGGAACTGGAACGAATTTAAGGAAGAGATTAACAATAGGTGATTCACGCATAAATAAATTGGATGCTACATGAAAAACCACGATATAGCATACTCAAGATCGAACTATAGTAAAATATACAGATACCCTTTTGGTGGTCGTGCAAACATAGGACAAAGTTTCATTTTTAACCGACTTCCCCACTACCAACAAAGGAGGAGGTTCTCAATTTGTTTGTGGCGATGTTTTTTTTTTCTATGTATGTTCACCAATTTCTCTGTGATTCTTTTACCGATCAGTGTGGTTCCACCACCAAAATAACCAGGAGAATTTCTATTTGGTACCTTATATATTATGTTTAAGTATAATATTTGTTTCGGTGAAATATTCTGAAAACCTTAAATATTCAACATTTGTTTTGTTTACATTTGTGCATATTGTTTACATTTGTGCAGAGAAGGCAATAAATAATAATAACATTCCTACAGCTGTTAGTTGAAACCATTTAAATGAAGCTAGACAATTCTGACAATTCTTAATGAAACAGTTGCTTCATACTGATCAATAAACTATTTCTTGCCATGAAGCCTTTGAATTACATTGAGAAAAATGCATTTTGTTTTGGTTACTATAAAAAATGTATTTTAACGTTTGACCTGATTTGTGTATACAGTAATTCTGTTATTAGTATTGAATATTCTGACTTACAAAAACATATATGTTTCAGTGAATAGCTGTATGATATTGACAAATAAAGGTGTATTGTGAAAACCAAAGCATTCGTAAAACAATTCTAAATATAAATTAAATGCAATTATTCCTTGCACCACTTTTAGCTGAACCAATCTTTCATATACATATTTCATTTGCAGATGTGGAATGTTTATTAATATTCTCTACCCAGTTACTATATCAGATCAATACTATTATGCCTGCTTCGGAAAGTCCTAGAGGAAGATGATTTGCAATTTCGACTAGGCTATATCTTGAGCAAACAAAACCCCCTACATGACTTACACCACTTTAAGCTGAATCAATCTTTTATATAATATTTTCCAAAGGTACTATACGTGTTAACAACCAATTTTCCACTTTTGAGAGATTTTTTAGTGCTGGTAGCTGAGGAATAACTTTCATTCCAAAAGGCTTGAGACGTTACTGCATTTCTTTTTATAATGTAGAAGTACACCGATTGCAGGAAACGATAATGTCTGACATGTCAATGTATCTAGAAAAGACAATTAGTTTTTCACTAGGCCTAATGTAATGGACAACTCTTTCCTTCTTAATATCTAAAAATGTTTATTTTCATACCCACTGATTATGTAACCTGAACAGGTGACTCAAGCAGTTTTAAAATAATGATTGTTCTGTGGAACTTTTGATTGTGTCAAACAGTTTAGCTTATCAAAAATCCTCAAGTAATTAATATATAAAAAATTATACAGTCACTAAAAATCATGAAATAATTTATTTTTGTAAAAAAATACAACCGACTTCAAACGCTCTAAAAAGAATGAAATAATTTCAATAAAATAAACTTTTGTATTAGGCAAGCTCACGTATTTCAAGTCGGCCCGGCTCAAACTGCAAATATGATTGAAACTAAATATTGTGTGTGTATTTTGAAAATTAATAAATTGTAGCTGGATAACATAAATATATAAAAAAACATACTGAACTGTTTCGTTTATATATTAAAGGAAATATCTTCTTGTATTTTATGTTTAGGCCTACTTCAGAATAAATGCATTATGAAAATAACACACACAAATGTTCTATATGAATAGGAAAATAATTTTGTTTGATATTATGATAGGGAAAAGAAGCTAGTTTAGTATTAAAACGTTACTTTTCCAATTAAGAAACATTTAAATGCGTTAGGCCTATACGCTTTTTAAAGATACTCATTAATACCACTATAATGCCGATCTCTGATTACGGTAATAAAATAACACTTAACGCATAACTATGAAAAAGACATGCAGATTAACACCTTTAGTTATAGATAGTCACCTGCAATATGGACACCCTCATTCAATTTTGTATAAAAAATCATCATAGAGCCGCGCCGACTTAAAATACGTGAGCGTGC